GTTCATTTATATTTGCATATATAATAAATTAAGTTATAATTTAAAAGGATATTTAATTTAAAATGAGACTATTGACAATTCTGGAGGTGTTTTATCACCATTGGGCCTTGGTGCCAGCCAGGCCAGGCCAGTATGTCAGCAGGGACCTGACTGTGGCCTGGGCAGGCCCCTGAAGGTCCTGCAGAGCCTCTTCCCTGGCACCGTCCCTGCCCCTCACAGAGCCCCATCCATGGCACAGACCAAGGACACGTCACTGCTGTGGATCCCACAGGGGACTCGCTCCACGGGCTCTACTGAGGAGCCACTCGTACTCTGATGATAATTGCAGGAACGCAGATTTTCAATGGACTCACCTTTCAGTTGGCCTGATTCCAGACAAGAGCATCCCAGAGGAATTTCTTGAAGCTGAAAAACGATCCTTTTTATGTCCACAAATTATAGTTCTCTATTCCCACATCCAACACAGTTACCTTCCAAAGAGGCACGTGTGCCAACGTGCCCTGCGCATCAGCCAGCTCAAGTCTTACTTACTTTAAGGAAAACAGTGCACTGAAATGAACTGGTCTGCACCCTCCCGCCACGCCAGGGGAAGGGGAAAGCTAACTCACTTGTCCAGGGACGATGTGGAGCTTTTCATAACAGTAGGACCATATTGTCAACCTCAGCTCACAAGTTTTATAGTCTCATTGCATAGTCTTTCTCAGTCTTAAGAGTACTGCAGACGACCTCAGCCCCTGGTTCATGTATTACAGGACGGAACTTTGTCATTTGCGTCACATGCACAAACTGCCTTCTAGGTGAGTGGGAGGGGCGGAAGGCTAAGCTGTCCATTAGTAGATAGAAATCCCAGGCTGATCCTTAACAAGCTGTATAAACTCAGAGAAGTTTGTTAACATTCCTGAAGCCCTTTTCCTGTACATATAAGTGAGAGACTGAATATAAAAATGGACAATTGCCAAGCCATATATGAAACTAGAACTCTGTCCCACAATCTGCAGCAAGCAGCCCAGGAAAACAACCCATTATCTACAATAAGCAGCCCAGGAAGCCAAGATACTTCCTGTAAGTCAGACTTAAAGGAAGTCAGATCAATGCCTCTAGCAGACAATCTAGGAAGCCAAACAATAATCCTGTAACAATTGGCCCCAAATGTCCAGGACTTGATCAATAACTGACAGCTTCCCTAGTTTTTGTCCCCGCTTCCAACTTAGGACCAGTCAGATAAAGCCATATCTGCACCTGCAACCAATCACATGGGTTGCCCTCCTCCCAGTCAGCCACCTACAGCTTCCATGGCAACAGGCTCCAAGCAGGGCACACCCAAAGCCTTCTTCTTTCCTACTAGAAAGTTTTTGCACCCCTCTGCCTGCCTTTGAGTCTCTGCCAAAAGGCGAGTGACGGTGTCTGACTCCCTCGCAGGTTCTAGGTGGCCTTTGCTTACTCCCTTTTGGGGGTCTGTCTTTATTTCCACATGAGAAACGCATAGACCAGATGATCGATCTATCATCCTAAGATTTTTGGATTTGTAAAAATAGATAATTCAAAATCTAAGCTGTTGGAACTCTACATCATTTTGAGCCTTAAAGAAATATGACCATGGGGCCTGAGTCACTTGATAAGCAGCTCTAAGCTTTTGTTTGTCTGAATTAGGGCTGTTCCCTCACATGCATTGTTTCATAAAATGTTGTAAATGACTGAAGGGGACCAGGGAAGACCCTTCCCACTCCACTGTTGATTTTCATTATAGATTAACCTCCTTCTTATCTTTCTCACACAAAGACTACATGGCTATTGCATCATCTTAAGATGGAATATTAAATACACTCTTTTTAATTATAAAGAAAAGGAAAACCAGCTATAAAGAAAAGAAAACAAGATATAGAGAAAGGAAAACAAACTTAAAGGAATTAATTTGTAACTCTTAAACCAGCCTTGTATAGAAAATGTTGTTAATCCTGTTAAATTTCTTTCTCTTTTTCTATAGAGGCAAGAACTTGACCTTTAACTTTGGAACACTGACCCCATTTCTCTGGAGTCTGTGTGTCCTGGAATGGTCATTCTCAGCTTTTTGCTTGAATAAACTCTTCCAAACTGGATTCTGACCCTTTTGATTATTTCAGGTTGACAGATTCAACAACAATTTACATTTATTCAACAAGTATTTACTGAGCAGCTAGTTAAATGTCAATCGCTGTGCTAAATACTTGAGATATTTGGTAAGTTTTTAGTCTAGTGAAGAAGAAGGTCATAAATCAATAATTAGACAAACAAATATAAGATTACAGCTCTGACAAGGAGCTGCCTACCATGCTATGAAAATAGTCGGTCTGGTCAAGGAGGCCAGGGAGGATTTCTCAGAGGAAGTGAAGAGCATTGAGAGTTTACCAGGTGGAGAAGAGGAAAGAGGAAGAAGGCTCAGGCCAAGGTCACAGGGTATACAGGGTCAGGAGGAGGGTGAGCCTGGGCAATGACAAATGAAGTTTCACAGAGAGCAAGAGGCCAGACCACATGGTGTCTCCCAGGCACTGATAAGGAATTCTGTCTCTGTCCAGAAACTAACAACAGCAGCATAACAACTAACTCTTACTGAAAGCTAACTGTGTATCAGGCATGCTAATGAAGGCTTTAGAGATACGTTATAGTTTCAGTAATATCTGTTAATTATTAAGTCAGAAAAGCTAGTAAAGGCTGGATAAGAGTGGTGGAAGTAGAAGAAAGTGGACAAATACGTGTGAAATTTAGGAGGCAAAAATCAGAGGACCAGAATGAATAGGATATAGAAAGTGAGAATGAAGATTTCAAGGATGACTTTGAAAATTTTGGGCCAGGCGCGGTGGCTCACGCCTGTAATCCTAGCACTCTGGGAGGCCGAGGTGGGTGGATTGCTTGAGGTCAGGAGTTCGAAACCAGCCTGAGCAAGAGCAAGACCCTGTCTCTACTATAAATAGAAAGAAATTAATTGGCCAACTAATATTAGCCGGGCATGGTGGCACATGCCTGTAGTCCCAGCTACTCAGGAGGCTGAGGCAGCAGGATTGCTTGAGCCCAGGAGTTTGAGGTTGCTGTGAGCTAGGCTGACGCCACGGCACTCACTCTAGCCTGGGCAACAAAGTGAGACACTTTCTCAAAAAAAAAAAAAAAAAAGAAAGAAAGAAAATTTTGGCTTTTGAAAGGATATACGATATTCTTCTGTGGGATAATAAACACCCAAAGAGGACATATTGTCAATGTGTTGAATCAGAAGAGCTTGCGACTCTGAAAGGAGATGTCAAAGAGTAAGCTGGGTGTGGTAGGCAGAACAGCCCCACAGATGTCCAGGTCCTAATCCCTGGATGCCGTGAATGTTACCTTACATGGCAAAAGGGACTTTGCAGCCATGATTAAGGTTAGGAGCCTTAAGGGATGTTTCTGGTTATCTGAGTGGGCCCAAAGTCATCACATGAGCCCTTAAAAGCAGAGAATTTTTCTTGAATATGACACTAAAACACAAGCAACCAAAGAAAAAACAGATTAAATGGATTTAATCTAACTGAAGCTTTTGTGTATCATTAGACCCTATCATGAAAATGTAAAGACAATCCACAGAGTGGGAAAAAATATTTGCAGATTACATATTTGACAAGGGTCTAATATCCTGAATATATAAAGAACTCTTACAGCTCAGTAGTAAGAAGACAAAAACACAATTTAAAATGGGGCAAAAGACTTGAAAAGACATTTCTCCAAAGAAGATATATAAATAGTTAAGTGCATCAAAAGATGTTTACATTATTAGTCATTAGAGAAATGCAAATTAAAACCACAATGATATACCACTAGGATGACTATCAGCTTTTTTTAAAAGGAAATTAACAAGTGTTGGCAAAGATGTGGAAAAATTGAAATCCTCATACATTTCTGGTAAGAGTATAAAATGATGCAACTGCTGGGAACACAGTTTGGCAGTTCCTTGCAAAGTTAAACATAGCACGTGCATTCCTAAGTATGTACTCAAAAGAATTGAAAACATGAGTTTACACAACAATTTGTACACAAATATCTGTGGCAGCATTATTCACAATAGCCAAAAGCATAAACAACCCAGATATCCATCAACTGATGAGTAGATAAACAAAATGTGGTACATCTACACAAAGGAATATTATTCAGCCATAAATGGAAAGACGTGTTGATAGATGCTACAACACGGGTGAACGCTGAAACCAGGCTGAGTGAAAGTCAGGCACAGAAGACATCATATTATATGAGTCTATTTATATGGCATGTCCACAATAGGCAAATACATAGAGACCAAAAATAAATGAGCAGTTGTCAGGGAAAAGAGAGAGAGGGGTGAAAGGGGAGTGACTGCTAATGGGCACCTGGTTCCCGCTAGGGTGATGGGAATGTTCTGGAATTAGCGGTGACAGCTGTGCAGCATTGTGAACGCTAGAAACCACTGGAGTGTATACTTCAACATGGTGAATTTTATGTTATGTGAATTTTATCTGAATTTTTCAAATTAAAAGCATTTTTAAAAGCAAAGAAAAAGGCAGAGAACTTTCTGCAACTGCAATCAGAAAACAAATGAAGCTTAAGAAACAAGAGAGATTCCTGGCGTGGGAAAGACTCGACGCAACACTGCCGTCTGGGAAGGGGAGGGCAAGGTGGTGAGGCGTGGCCTTACGGACCGCGAGGCTCCAGCTGGCGGCCAGCAAGGGCGCGGGGACCCCAGTCCTGCCACCACAGAAGCTGCATGCTGCCGACAAGCTGACTGCTTGGAAGTGGACTCTCCCCGGAGCCCCCAGATGGAATGCTGCCCCCGACACCTCGATGCTGCTTCCTGACACTCCAAGCTGAAGCCCCACTGGGCCACACTGTGCCCACACTTCCCACCTACGGAACTGTGAGATAACACATGTACAGGGTTTCAAGCTACTAAATTGGTGGTAATTTGTTAGGGCAGCAATAGGAAACAAATATATTGGTTACATCCAGAAACGTGGTCTGGCTGGACATACCTGTGCTTTATTTTTCGTAGGTGCGGACTGCAGCCATGGACAGGGTAAGAGCGTGCAGGGAGGGAGGGCACCAGAGAGGAAGGAGGCTGGGACCAGCGGTGGGGACCGTCTCACCGCACAGCCTGCTGGAGCCACCAGGAGGACAGTAGGAGGCTGGAGGCTCAAGGAAGCCGAAGACAGTGCTGTGTGACAATCCCTGCGTGACCGGTGATCTTCTCAGATGGCAGAATCCACTCTAGCAAATTTAAATAAAAGACAGTGATTAAAAGTCATCGACAACTTACAGAATTGTTAGGAGAGGCAAGGGCACGATGGTGCCAGGAATAACTCTCAAAGGAGCTGCTGCCTCTGCCTTCACCGGGGAGTCAGCCGTCTGGAAGCTACCACCGGGTGCTGGCTCCAGATCCTTCCTGCCCCATCTGCAATGCACCCAGCCAAAAGGATGCCTCCAGCCCTGCCCCTGCCCCTGCCCCTGCCCCTGCCCCTGGTCTCAGTTTCAAATGACAGTCCTAGAGAAGACGTCTGATGCATGAAACTGAAATCTCATCTGGAAACGGTGGCAAGAGAATACGGAAAATGTCGTTTTAGCTTTCTCCCTCTGCCGGGAAGGCATGTGCCAGGGGAGTGGAATGACTGCTGAGTGCGCCAGCCCGCGGTGTCTTCCTCAGAAGGCACGGAGGGCCACGCTGCAAGGGAGGGGCTAGGCCAGCAGTGCAGGCGCCCTGAGAGAACAGGGATGCTGACCGCCGAGACTCGCTTCTGGAATGCAGTGGCCACAGAGCGCCTAACAAAGCCCACCGGCGCACTCACAGGACCGCAGCAGGTGGAGGGTGAATGCAAAGTCCAGTGTAAGGGAGCACTTTGAGAACGTGGCTGGGGGAGAAGGAAAGAGGCAGCAGCTGCGAGGGACCGGGGCAGGTGTAGAGGGGCGACTTAGCGTCCTTTCCCTTCCTTTCTTTGCACTTGGACTGGTTTGGTTTCCAGATATTTAAAAACTGATGAGAAAGCTCTTGGAGACAGAGGGCTTGAATATAAAGGATAAAATAGATCATTCAAAGGAAAAAAGGGTGCTCCCCGGCGTGCCGTGTCCGGGCTGGCGCGCAGGGCCAGGCGGAGGGCACAGCCTGGGTGGGGCAGGCAGGGCCCTGGAGGAAGCTGGGCCGCGAGGGTGCAGCGGGCTCCCGGGCACAGGGAGAACTTCAGGGCACAGCCATCTGGCGGCTGCTATTTTCTCTGGAAAGTGGGATGCTCAGGCATCTGCTGAAAGGGAGGCGGGGCAGTGGGCGGCTGGGACCAGGCAGAGGCAGCGTTGGCACGTTCATCTGGAAAGCAGAGGGTGCCGCGGCCTGAGAGGCAGAGAGGAGCGAGAGGCAGCGCTGGGCTTCAGGCCCGATATCACCTGAGCACGGTGGGACCCCAGCAGTCTGCTCTGATTCCTCTAGAGCAGAGAGAAAGCGTGTGTGTGTGTTTGCGCACGCACATATATACATAATATTTCTTGTGTCACCTATGATTGGGGTTTTGCTAGATGAGCACCACACACACACACACAAATGAGCTGGGAGGTGGCTGTGTGACACCTCACTGGGTTGAGAGGAAGGAGGGGAAGGAGTGAAGGCGAGAGCAGGTGGAGTGGGAGCAGCAGAGGCTACTGGGAGCCAGGTGGGCCAAGGGCCCTCATGGTGGGGACGCAGGGCAGGTGAACGGGCCAACGGCAGAGACTAGGCCCTGCTCATAGAGAGCCTCTGCTGATCTAGGGACGTGCAATGATTTTGAATCACTGCTATTTCCTGGCCCCTGTAATAGACTCAAAGATAAACAAGCCCAGTGAAAGCCTAGTGACAGTAAAGACATACAACCTGAGCTGCAGGGCCTCACCTGCAGGCCCTGGGAGGGGGGCCTGGAAATTTTTGTATTTATTTTGCATTTAGGTACAAGCTTCAGGGCCCACAAAACTTGGATCCACCCATGCCCCGCCCCACATACCAAGGTTTGGAAGAGGACATGCAAATGAGGAACATCAAAACTGAAGCTTCCTAGTGTCCCCATCCCTTCATGACATCTAACTGTAGAGAAAGAAATGGCTGAGTGTGAGTTTCTACATATGTGTGGCATAGACTTCAAGGTGGCCCATGGTTCCTGTGACTTTCTCCTAACCGACAGTGACGACAAAGGTGAGGGCTGTCACTCCTAGCATTGTTATACAAGACTCAGTCTTGCTGGCAGACCTGATCTGGAGTCTTGCTGTCCTTGGGAGGTCGGAGCCAGCCCCCGTGAGCTCCACAGCCAGCACGGCCCGAGTGAGTGTGGAAGCGGACCCTGCCCCTGGAGCCTCCAGATGAGAACTCAGCCCCCGCCGAGCCCTTGGCTGCAGTTCTGCTGAGGACTCCGCTCGGCTGTGCCCAGACACCTGCCCCACAGAAACGGAGATGATACATGCGTGTTGTTCTAAGCCACTACGTCTGTGGTCATTTGTTATGCAGCATAAAAAGCTAATACAATATGTAAACATAAGGAAAATAGCGTTTGCTGCGCTGGGTTGATGTGAGGACGACACCAGATATGTGAAAGTGGCTGCTGTGGTCTGAATGTCTGTGTCCCTCCAAAATGCGGATGCTGAAGCTACTCCCCAGGGTGACAGTGTTACCAGGTGGGGCCTTTGGGGAAATGATTCAGTCCCGAGGGTTCCGCCCTCACGAGTGGATTAGTGTTCTCACAAAGGAGATGGAAAGAGCTCCCCTTTGTCCTTTTTGCCCTTCCACCATGAGAGGAAGCAGCAAGAAGGCACCATCTGCGAGCAGAGAGCCACCCTCACCACACGCCGAACCCACCGGCACCGTGACCTTGGACTTCCAGCCTCCAGAGCAGGGAGAAATAAATTTCTGTCCTTTTTAAATTACCTGGTGTCAGGATTTTGTGATAGCAGCAGGAACAGACCAAGACGGCGGCCAGAGCAATCCCGGGAGAGCCTCCGTCTGCCCCCCAGGGGCGCGCCATTCCCAGCGGGAAGCGACTCGTTCAGACGCAGGGGCCACAGGAGCGAGAGAGCAGCACTTCCTCCAGACCTGGAGCAGATGTGGATGGGGGAGAGTGAGGGGAGGGCTCCACATAGAGGAAAGAGCAGGGCGGAGGTACACGCCATGAGGTGAATGCCACGCTGGGGGACCACAGTCAGACTGTGCGGCTTCACAGTGTGGGTGTCACAGGCCAGTGTCGTCAGGAAACTGACAAGGTGGTTTGGGACCAGGTTACGGAGAACACTGAACATTAAGCTAAGGAAATTATAATATTTTAAATTAATAATCTGCACATTTTGTTTCCAAATTGAATTTGAAACTAGGAGGATTTACTTCTATTTCAACACCAATTTAGCAACTGTAGGGTACATTGTCAAAAAGCTTAAATCTGATGCTTTTTACTCAGGTAAAAATGTTATTTAAATGACAGCAAGAAATCACAAGAAAACTTTCTTATATATCCATCTACCATTGTGAGTCTGTGTGTGTGCATGCGTGTCTGTGTGTCTGAGTGCTTGGTGTGGTATGTGTGTCTGTGCCTGTGGGATGTGTCATGTGTGTGTGTGTGTGTGTCTGTGTGTGGTGTCTGTGTGTGTTATGCTGTGTGGGGGGGTGTGTGTTTGTGTGTGTTTGTGCGTATGGTGTGTATGTGTGTGTGTCTGTGTGTATTTATCTGTGCGTGTGCGCATGTGTGTGCACGTGTGTGTGTGTGCACGGCAGCTGTGGGAAGGTGCCTGTCCCCTCTCCAGCTGCAGGGAGAGTGACTGAGCAATCACTCCCTGCGCGCTCTGAAATCCGTCCCTGTGTTTGCGCCCAGACCCTACTTGTCAAGACCCGCTGCCGGCCTGTGATCCAGCGCCGCAGGGCACAAGGCAGCCCTTGCCGGCGGTCCGACGGGCACCTTGGGCGCAAAGACTGGAGCACAGCCTCGCGGAGCTTCCCTGAGTGCCGCAGATCAGGTGGAAGCATCTGCCTCCACTCCCCTCCTCCTCCCTCCTTCACGCGGGGCCAGGCCTTGCCTCTTCCTTGCTCCCCAGCTTCCTACTCACTGTCTCTCACGGGCCGCCCCTAATACATTCCTGGCTCTGTTAATCCTGCCTCCACGGCTGCTTCTGGGAGGACCCAGAACAACACAGTAGGGGAAAGAACGGTTTGAGAAAACAGGCGCTAAGTGGGGGCTTGAAGCTGGTCCCCCCACCTCCCAGCAGTGGAAGCGGCTGCTGTCCAGCTGGTAGCTGGAGCACCGAGAGTCCCTGGCACAAGGCAGCAGCTCAGCTGCTCAAGACTTTACCAGTAGTGACCCGGAAAACGTTCCAGCGGAGAGGAATGAAGTGGCAGTGCCATGAGCAGGCATTTTAAGAACGGGCAGAAAGATGCCTACAGAAGCCACTACACTGCCTGGATGCGCAGCAGAGGAAGAATGAGAGATGCTGGCCTGTTCGCGTGGGCTCTGCGACAGCTGACAAAGGGGCTTCGCGTCCTGCAGAGGACAAACAGATACACAGCCCGAGTCGCAGGCTGCAGAGCTGAGTCTTAGAGTCACAGAGCTCCAGAGGTGTGAATGCTCAGCAAAGGCAGGAGTGGTAGGCAAAGGTCAGGGCCCTTGTGGGCGTAACCTGGGATCCTAAATATGGGACAGGGACATGCAGACGTTCGCCCTGGGGATATTGGCTCCACAGTCACCCCAGACCCCCTGGGCTGGTGGAGGTGGCCCACCCCTCCCTGGTACAACCCAGCACTTCTGCCACCCTGGCGGGTGCTGCGGGTGTCCCACCTCCCAAGGCGCAGGTGCTCCCCGAGGAGCTGTCCCTTGTCCTCTCCTAGCTGCAGGCATGTGTGCTGCAAAGACTTTCAGCGTTAGAAGAGGAAATGGAGGAATGGAGTCTGGAAGTGAGAGCGGCTCTGTACTAGACAGTACTGAGGTGACACCGAGCCACCTGCACCATCAAATTCTTGCTCCTGGCAGATAAGAATGTGAACCAATTAAAGTCGTGTATCAAAAGCAACAGCATGCTCACCTCCTTGTGCTCAGCACTTCACACCTATCGCGTCTTGATTTTGCCCAGTCTCATCCCATTTCTTGACTTGCAAGACACATACCTTAACATCACCCAGTCCAGGCCATAGCACCCTCCATACGCTCTTTCCTGACCTCTCTGTTTCGAGACATTTCTAAGACGCTGGCAATGTGCCGTTCTCTCTTACTGCTGTGGATTTAATATAGTCAGCTCTGTTTCATCAACAGGTTTTCTAGTGGTCTCTTTGGAACGACAACAATCAACACAAAATAGACAAGGATAATAGCAACATAGAATAAATGTAACATATCAGACATTTCTCACTGTGGCGCTGACTATTCTTTTACTGTATTCACCTGCGATGTGTCTGACCTGAATCAGTTCCAATCTGTCCCCTTTCTCAACAGACAAAATGTAAGCAACATTTAAGAAACAACTATCAGAGAATGAAACCCAATCAGGAAATACAGAAATGCATGCTCTTCACATTTCAGGTTTAAGGAAATAGTTGTTGTCTCACCTGGGAGGGGAAATAATGATTATTATTAATATTAATGATTTTTTATTCCTATAAGAATTCCTGGTTCACTCTACCTTGCTTATTTTACTTCAGATGTTGTTAATATATATCCTGTATTTATTCAGTTGACTAAGGTTTATCTTGCTTAGTTAATGGCTAACTTCTGGCTGGCCTTTTCAGGTTCTAAAATAGTTGCCAAATCTGGAATGCCTGCTTTGGAGATATGAGGACAATATCTGCTATGCCTGGGCTGTTCGAACGCTTAGAGGAAAGATCAGATTTTAATAGGAATGTCCCCACTAATGGATGCAGACTTTGGCCTCATTAAAAAGAGGCTTCATTGTTCAAGTTGGTCATTTAGGAATCATTATATTTACTCTGGCAAATGAAGGAGATAAACCTACCAAAATATTTATGTAGTTGTTGCTATTTGTGATCAGATTTTAAAATGTATTTTTATGGGCTTAAAAATATGCTCATAATATAAACAGGCACACCTTTTCATATATACAGCTTCTGTCTCAAATGCAAATTCTGCACAAATATGTGCAAATTATGCACAAATTCTACTCCCTCCTCTATAGACACTCCCTTAAATTGAGTACAAATCAAGGGTTCACAAATCTGGGTTTTTTTCTGTTAGTTTCCATTATAATTTCTGTTCTTGTCATCATTTCTAATGAGAAATAGGTCCTGAGCATTTACCATTCATTATCCACCGACTCCACCCCAGAGAGTTAATGGCCTGGTTGTCCGGCCCAGCTCTCAGTGCACTTGGGAAAGTAATTATAATCCCAAAGCATAGGCGATCGATGTCAAATGTGCAGCCTGTCAACAAGGGGCCTTGTCATAGCTGCTAACCCTGTAGCTTTGACTGTTTGTCTCTTTCCTGCTGACCCAAGACTTTCTGCCCAGGAGTTAATCTATAAATAAATGCTTAAATATACTCAAGGTGTTCCTCTTTTTAAAGCAATAATTTGATTTTTTTTTTTACTCCCCTGATCAAAACTTTCCATTGACTACTGAGAAAAGTCCAAAATCCTTATGCGAAATTTCAAATTTTCTAAACTCAGATCCCTATTTATCCTTCCAGCCTTATCTTCTACTCTTCTCCTCTGCACTTGACCTTTTGCAGGTGTTTTTCTGCCCCCAGCCATTGCTTATCTCTTTCCATATTTCAGCACCATCTTCGCTGCACTGGGAGGCTCATCGGGTGAAACATTTCAGAAAAACCAACCTGAGGTGAGGTGAGCACAAGGAAGGGGGTGTCCGCACTTCAGCTGGGGTGGGAAAATGAACATGAAACTGTATCTCTCCGCCAGGTGCGGTGGCTCATGCCTATAATCCTAGCACTCTGGGAGGCCGAGGCCGGTGGATTGTTTGAGCTCAGGAGTTCGAGACCAGCCTGAGCAAGAGTGAGACTCCGTCTCTACTAAAAATAGAAACAAATTAGCTGGACAACTAAAAACATATAGAAAAATTAGCTGAGCATGGTGGCGCATGCCTGTTAGGCTAAGGCAAGAGGATCTCTGGAGCCCAGGAGTTTGAGGTTGCTGTGAGCTAGGCTAACGCCATGGCACTGTCACCTGGGCAACAGGGTGAGACCCTGTCTCAAAACCAAACAAAAAAGTGCATCTCTCTTAAAGACTTGTCTCTGTTCGCCTCACCCTCCTGCTTTCTTACCCTCACAATTAACATCTTTGCACAGTGATTTTCACAATGGTCCCATGAGCATACCTTCCAGACACTGCATATGTGGTTAGGGAGGATCACACTGCTCTTACTTTCCTCCCTCCAGCAGCACCTGGGGGGTTCAGCCTGCTCTATCTCTGATTGATATCACCCCTCCTCAATCCCAGCTCCTGTCCCCACTGGATCCCTGTGGGCTTCCTTTGGTAATAGGGTCCTTCATACATACAAATATCCCATAGGTATTTGGGTTCCACTCTCATCTGTTCTTTGATTATCTCTACCCCACATCTCCTGTAGAAGGCTTTGCCTATGGTACATAGCATTGAATCAATCAAAAAGAAAGAAAGAAAGAAAAAAGCAACAGATCAGCTTTAGCAAGAGCAAGACCCCATCTCTACAAAAAATAGAAAAATCAGCCAGACAGGGAAGCACATCCCTGTAGTCCCAGCTACTCTGGGAGGCTGAGGCAGAAGGATGGCTAGAGGCCAGAAGTTTGAGCTTGCAGTGAGCTGTGATTATGATGAGGCTACTACACTATAGCCCGGGCAACAGAGTGAGACCCTGTCTCAAAAAAAAAGAAAGAGCCGGGCGCGGTGGCTCACACCTGTAATCCTAGCACTCTGGGAGGCTGAGGCGGGCGGATTGCTCGGGGTCAGGAGTTCGAAACCAGCCTGAGCAAGAGTGAGACCCCGTCTCTACTATAAATAGAAAGAAATTAATTGGCCAACTAATATATAATATATAAAATTAGCTGGGAATGGTGGCGCATGCCTGTAGTCCCAGCTACTCGGGAGGCTGAGGCAGGAGGATTGCTTGAG